CAATTTCCATTCAAAAGGTCTTTTGTAGAAATTGATAAACTGATCCTAACATTTACATGGAACTGCAAAGGATCAGAAAACCAAAATAAATTTGTGAAAGAACAAACTTGGAAGGATTTGTACTGTCCAATTTCAAAATTTACTGTAAGGCCATAGTAATCTGGGCAGTGTCGTGTTTTCAGGATAGGCATACAGATCAATGGAATAGAACTGAGAGTACATAAATAAACCTTGATGTTATGGCCCATTGATTTTTGTGAAAAATACCAAGACAATTCAATGGCAGGAAGAACAGCCTATTAAGAATTTTTTAAAACAAATTAGACAACTGGGTATCCATATGTAAAAAATAAAAAATGAACTTGACCTTAACAAGAACAAAATCTAGTGTGGCTGAGGATACAGAGAAACTGGAACCCTCGTGTATTATTGGTAAGAATGTAGAGTGGTACTGCTACTTCGAAAAGCAATTTGGGCTCTTCTCCCCAGGAACCATGGAGGGTGCACAGGGGAAGAAGGTTCCCACAGTGCCAGAAACCCTTAAGAAAAACTGAAGGAACGTCATGGGAGTTGAAGATCAAGCACCTGAGGAAGATGTTTGCCCAAAAGGAGCTTTGAAAGGCAAAGAGGAAGCTTATCTATGAAAAAAGGTAAGCATTACCACAAGGAATTCCGGCAGATGTGCAGAACTCAGATTCAAATGGCTAGGACTGCAAGAAAAGCTGGCGACTTCTATGTACCTGCAGAACCCAAACTGGCATTCGTCATCAGGAGTAGAGGTATCAAGGGTGTGAACTCGGAGGTCTGAAAGGTGCTGTAGCTTCTTTGCCTTCTCCAGCTTTTCAATGGCACTTTTGTTAAGCCCAACAAGGCTTCCATTAACATGAGGAGGATTGTGGAGCCATATATTGCATGGCGGTACCCAAATCTCAACTCGGTAAATCAACTGATCTGTAAGTGTGGTTATGGCAAAATCAACAAAAAGTGAATCGCCCTGACAAGAAACACATTTCTTGCTTGATCTCTTGGTAAACATGGCATCGTCTGCATGGAGGATCTGGTTCATGAGATCGATGCTCTTCCAAATGCTTCCAGGAAGCAAACAGCTCCCTGTGGCCGTTCAAATTATCTCCTCCATGAGGTGGAATGAAGAAAAAGACAGCCCATTTTGTAGAAGGATGAATTAAGGTATCCATCCTGATTTTTTTGTTATCTAGTCAGTTAATAAACAGTGACTGCTTTAAAATACTTTACAAAAGAAAAAAGAAAGTTTGGTAGTTTCTTAAGAAGTTGAATATAAACTTACTGTATCATCTAGCAGTTCCACTTTTAGGAATCTGACCAAGAGAAAAACATGCATCCATACAAAGATTTCTATGTTAATATTCATTGCAGCATTACTCATAATAGCCAAAAAGTGGAAATAATCAAAATGACCATCTACTATAGTACTTGGATAAACAAAATTTGGTATTATCCATATAATTGAACAATAAAAAGAAATGGACTCTTTATACATGCTACAACATGAATGAACTTCAAACAACTTTTGCTGACTGCAAAAAGCCAGATGCAAATAATAAATACTATACAATTCCATTTATATGTAATTTCCAGAGAAGGCAACTATAGACATACATGAAACAGATCAGTGGTTGCCTGAGTGAGCATGGGAGCGGGGAACGACAGCAAGTTCAGTTGAGGAAACTTAGCATTATGAAAATGTCTAAAACTGAACTGCGGTGATTGCATACTACAAATTTACTAGAAGTCATTTAATTGTACACTAACAATGGGAAGTTTTATGCTATGTAAATTATACCTTAGTTTTCTTTTTGTAAAAAGAGGTAACCCAATATCTACTCTCAACAAAATTTAAAGTGTACCATACAATATTTTTAACTATAAGCACAAAATTGTACAGCACATCTCTTGCATAATTAAAATTTTATACTCTTTGAACAGCAACTCTCCATCCTTACCCTCAGCCCGCAGCCCCTGGCAACCATCATTCTACTTCCTGCTTCTATAAGTTTAACTATTTTGGACACCTCATAGAAGTGGAATCTTGGTGTTTTGTCCTCCTGTAATTGGCTTATTTATCTTATGACCTCAAGGTTCATCCATGGTGTTGCCCATTGTATAATTTCCTTCTTTTTATGGCTGAATAACATTCTATTTTATACACACACACGCACATGCACACATATATATGTCATATTTCCTTTACCCATTCATCTGTCAATGTCCGAGTGGGGCGCACCCACATCTTGACTACTGTGAGTAGTGCTGTAGTGACATGAGGATGCACGTCTCTCTCAGACATCCTGATTTCACTTCTGGCTATAAACCCAGAAGTGGGAATACTGGGTTATATAGTAGTTCTACTTTTAATTTTTTGAGGAAATTTCATACTGTTCTCCATAATGACAGAATCATTTTCCATTCCTGCCAACTATGTACAAGGGTTCCAATTTCTCCACGTCCTTGGTAACACATGTCACCTTTTTCTTTCTTTCTTTTTCTTTTTTAAAGTAATGGCCATCCTGACAGGTGTGAGATGGTATCTCATTGTGGTTTTGATTTTCATTTCCCTGATGACTGTTGATTTGAGCATCTTTTCATATACCTGTTGGCCACTTTCAGTAATTTTTTAGGGGGGGGAGGCTACGTTGAAGGTGTTCCTTATACAAAATATCTTGGAGATGAATTCTTGGTCAGATATGGTTTGCAAGTATTTTCTCCCATTCCTTATGGTTACCTTTTCACCCTGTTGATTCTCTGCTGTAGCAGAAACTTTTTAGTTTGATGTGTTCCCACTTGGGTTTTGGGGGTCTTTTGGTCGCTTATGTTTCCGGTATCACATCAATGAAATCATTGCCCCAGATCAGTGTTATGAAGCTCCCTCTTTATTCCTTTCTAGGAGTTTTACAGTTTCAGGTCTTATAAATTTTTGAGTTAACTTTTTGTATGACGCAAGATAAGGGTCCAATTTCATTCTTTTGCATGTAGCTATCCAGTTTTCCCAACAAAATTTGTTGGAGAGACTATCCTTTCTCCATTGTGTATTTTTTGGCATCCTTGTTAAAGATCAGTTGACTGTATATGTTGTGGATTTATTTCTGGGCTCTCTATTCTGTTCCATTGTCTATTTGTCTTCTTTAGGCCAGTACACTGTTTTGATTACTGTAGCTTTGTAATATATTTTGAAATCAGGAAATGTGATGCCTCCAGTTTTTTCTTTCTTAAATTGTTTTGGCTATTTGGCCTCTTTTACGGTTCCATATAAATTTTACATTTAAAAACAAATTTCTGTAAATTAGTGAAGATTTTACAATAAATTTTAAAAGAATGAGGTAGGCCTATGTATTGATATGGACATATATTAAAAGTAAAATGTTTTGTTTCTTTAATTTTTTAAACAGTTTTAAAAATCAAGGCAATATCTGTATGTACATAGCTAAGAAAACAAAGAGGCAGTGCACAACAAGGGCTAACAATGAAAAGCGACCCCACACTCAGAGGTCCTCGTTTCTATTCACAGTTCTTCTGATGGTTACAAGTGCTACATAAGAGAATGTGCTTTCGGTATGTTACATCCTAAATCCAACCTCATTTTCCCACTTCTACCAATAACCCCTGGTCCAAACTACCATTGTCTTCTGCATGGACAATTAAAAGAGCCCCTTACTTGGCCGTAGTTTTGCTCCCCCATTTTGCCTGCCACAGTGCTTTCTCTACAAAGCAGCCAGAATGACTTTTTTAGATCTTGCATTCCTTTGCTCAAAATCCTTCAACGCTTTCCCATTTCACTCAGAATAAAATCCAATATCTTTACCTTAGCCAGTAAGGTCCTCTATGGTCTGTTCCTTCACTGCGTTTGGCCTCATCTGCAGTCTCCCCCTGTGCACTCCTTGTCAGTCATACTGACCTCTTTCCTGGCCTCTGCACATCCCAAGCATGCTCTTAACCTCACAGCCTTAGTAAGTGCTGTTTCCTCTCTCTGTAATGCTCTTTCTCAAACTTGCTCCCTCACTTGCTTTGTGTCCCTGCTCAAATACTATCTCTTAGAGAAGACTCTTGAGAATGCTTTTTAAAATTCAGTTTCTAACCTCATAATCTGTTTTATTTTTCTTCATAGCATTCGTCACTATCTACAGTTTTTCTTTTACTCCATGCATTCAGGCTCTCTCCGTCATGCGTCTCCCCCATCCCTTAGGACAACTGTCTCTGCCTGCACGGGTGCAGGCGAATTGGTATTCCAGCTTAGTGGAAGGCAAAAGAAAGAGAACGCCTATGAACACGCAGTGCTTCAATTATGTTCCTCTAAAAAGAAATTAGTACCCCAGCCAGAGCACAGCTTGTGGGGTGGGCAGTGCTTGGAAGTGCAGTGTTGCTGGGAAATATGTACTTGACTACAAATCTGGTACTAGACTAGAAAAGAACATATTTTGGTGAACAGCTTATCTTAGTCTTCCACAATTTGGTTTTCAAAAATTGAAAAATCTTCTGTAAAATACATAAAACGTATAAAATATGAAAAGTCATTATGCCTCTGGCCAGTGTGGCTCAGTTGGCTGGAGTGTCATCCAGGAAACCAAGGGTTGCGGATTTGATTTCCAGTCAGGCACATACCTAGGTTGCTGGTTCAGTCTCCAGTTGCAGCGTGTGAGAGAGGCAACTGATAGATGTTTCTCTCTCCCTCCCTTCCCCTTTCTCTAAAATCAATAAGAACGTCCTTGGGTAAGAGTTAAAAAAAGTCATTTTGTACAGTCTTTCATAATTATGATTTGATCAACATTACTCATTGTGGAGGTAAGCACTATGCTGTAACATTTCTTCCCTCCCTCCCTCCCGCCTTCCCACCCTTCCTTCTGCACTTCCTCCCGTCCTTCCCTCCCTCCCTCTCTCCCTCCTTCCCTCTCTTTCTTTAATTAACCCACTTATTACAGGCTAGCAATGCTTCAAACTGTGGAGCTTCTACTGGTCCTTCAATTCCATCAGCCTTCTGATGGCGACTTTACTGTGACGGGCAGAAGTGCGTTGTAGGTCCAGGAACCACCAGCGATCGCTTCCGTGCAGGGGCCACAGTGCCAGATCCCCAGGGCTCGCCTCTTCGTCTTGGTTTTGCCACAGAAGAAGCAAGTGTGCTTGGCGTGCTGACTGATCTCGATTTTCTTCACCATTTTCCTGAAGGAGGCGCCATAATGGGTGCCGTATTTACTAACGATTCTGAACTTCTTGGTGCGTTTAGCCATGCTGCCACACACTAGGCTGGCATCCAAGAGGCGTGGTCACATTTCTTGTGTCATTCAGAAGAGAATGTTCACACTATCAAATTCTTTTGCTCTATGAATCCACTTTTTAGTATACTTAAATATGGACTAAGAGTTTTTTGGTATGGTTTTCTGTTGTTTGTGGAGTTTCTAGTTGCCTTTTTTTCACATATATAACTTTTTCTGAGTTCTCAACCATGCCATCTATTGTGGGGCGTCCAACCTTTTGGCGTCTCTGGGCCACACATTAAATACTCAAACGCTAATGAAAACTGATGGACAAAAAAAAGGTTTTAAGTAAACTTAGGATTTTGTGTTGGGCTGCATTCCTAGCCCTCTTGGGTGGCCTGTAGGCTGGACACCCCTGAGTCTCCCTGTCTCCCAGGTTGCTCCCACACGGTCCTTTACTCCTGTGTTCCACTATGGACTTACTGTGCCCTAGGTCAGCTATATCACTGTGGGGCCTCCGGGTTTCTGTTCACTGGGCTGGACCCGCTATTACTTGGTATCTATATTGTCATCGTCGTCTTTCTTATTTATTCTCTTTTTTTGCTGAGTACAACCTCAGGAAACTTTCTAAGAAAGACTGTGTGATGGTAAATGCCCTGTTATTACCATCACACTTGGTCTGTTCAAGGTTCAGAAGTATTTACCCTTAGAACTGTAAAGGCATTTTTCCTTTGTCTCCTGGAATCTAGCTAAGAATTCTGTTGTCACTATAGTTTGCCTTTGGAGGTTTCTTCTCTCTAGAAACTTTAAAGATCTATGTAGTCTCAGAGTTCATACATTCTCCCAGTATCTTTTTCATGTATGCTGCTTGAATTTGGAAAGCTCTTACAAATTGTTCTCAGGTATTCCACCTGGAAAACTTCATTATCTTATTATTGACTAATGTTCTTGCACCTGTTTCCTCTCTCTCACTGGAACTCTTTTAATCAGACTTAGACCTCTTAGACTGATTCCCTGTATTTCTTATCTTTTTAATAATATTTTAAAATTACTTGTCTTTTTATTTGGCTCTCTAGGAGATTTTCCTGGTAACTTTCAATCATTCTATTTCATTCTAGGAGATGTTCCTGATAATTTTCAATCATTCTATTTCACTTTAGTAGGAATGATGTCCATCAGGGAAAACTACATAATTAATTGCTAGTCTGTTCATCGGCCTGGATAGAGTTTTGCTATATGTTAACTGATTTCTGTGCCAAAGGTTTATAGATTTACATTCCATTTCACCATTTCTAACTTAGCATTGAACAAAATCACATATGATAAGATAAAGATATCCAATTAATAAAACACCAAAAAACTATAATATTTACTTACATATATAAATGCAAAATCCTAATAAACTATTAACAAATCAAATCTAGCTATTTATTCAAAGAATAATATTATATGACCAAGCAAAGTTTATTTTGGAAATATAAAGAACGTTGATAATATATTTGGCATCACTAGGTCATAGGAGAAAAATTATATGAACATGTCAAGAAATGTTTAAAAAACCTTTGTCAAGCCCTGACTGCTGTGGCTCAGTTGGGCATCATCCCACAAAGCAAAAGGTCACCAGTTTCCCAGTCAGGGCACATGCCTGGGTTGCGGGTTCAGTCCCCAGTTGGGGTTTGTGCAAGAGGCAACCAAGTGATGTTTCTCTCACAACATTTCTCTCCTTTTCTTCCTCCTTTCCCCTCACTCTAAAAATAAATAAATAAATATCTCTAGTTTAATAATATAACTTTTATATCAATGACTAACACTATTAAACTTAATGGCTAAACATTAGGTTTTCTTAAGATGTTGAATAAAAAAGTAAAAAAATCTGCACTATTATTACCGTAATATAACAGCTGTCTGGAATTGCTAGCTAATACAATCAAATAAGATACAAAGAAAATGCCTTGGCTGGTGTGGCTCAGTGGGTCGAGAGCTGGCCTGTGAACCAAAGGGTCGCTGGTTCAATTCCCAGTCAAGGCACATGCCTGGGTTGTGGGCCAGGTCCCCAGTAGGGGGTGTGCAAGAGGCAACCACACATTGATGTTTCTCTCCCTCTCTTTCTCTTTCCCTTCCCCTCTGTCTAAAATTAAGTAAATAAAATCTTTTATTTATTTATCTTTTAAATAAAATTTTTATTTAAAAATAAAAATAAAAGGTATAAAGAGAATAGCAAAGTATTATTTGTAGATGATAGGACTATCCTAAAATTCTAATGATTAACACAAACTGTATTTGAAATAAGACCAATAAGTAAGGCAGTTAAAAAATCAGTGCTATAGCATTTTCACTTATTTGACAGGCAATGATGAAAAACAAGTAACATGTAGTGTTTATGAGACTATGAGGAAGTGGCCTCTCCATCTACTTCCACTGTCATTGCAGCATATTGTTACCACCTCTCTGGGGGCCAGTTTTAGACACACCAAAGGTTCTAAAAACATCCATATTCTTGAACCAAACAGCTCTACTTCTGGGAATACAAAGTAAGAAAACAGATATAAGTGGAAAGATTAAAAAAAAAAAATTAACAAAACACAGACATCCAAGCCAAAAATGGAAGCAATTTAAATGACAGTCAGTAGGATGCTACTTAACTATATCAAGACAACATGGAGTATTATGTAAGGGATTAGAAGAATGATGTAGATCTTATTTTAATGGAAAGGAGCTCACATTTCCTAGCAAAGTGAACAGGGCAGGATACAGATTAGTGCTTTTAAAAGTACGTATAGTCCTAGGCCTCTCTATAGGAAGACTGAAAGTCTAAAATGATATATAACAAAATGTTTCTAGAAGTCATTTTTTATTGTGGTTGATCACAAAGAAATTTCCATGAGTGTACTTTTTAAAGTTTCTTTTTTCTATGAATATACTTTTACTAAAAAAGTTCTAATGATAAGTCTCTGGACACATTTAAAGTGTTTTCCAGACACACAGCAATAAAACAGCATTAAATAGAGTAAAAAACAGCATCAACATTTCAGGTGGTCACAACTCAACTAACAGTTGTGTTACATGAACTAATATCTGAGGAGCAGTTCACTCAGTTGTAAAATGGTTGTCTAATCTACCTCACAATGCTGTTGTGAAGATCAAATAAAATAATGTAAATTTAAATGTCTTCAAAAATGTAAAATACTATGAAAATGAATGATGGCATAATCAGTATTATCACTTAAAGTAGTTAGAAGTGTTGGCTTGACCTCTTAACTGACTTTTGCAATGTTATTCTCATGTAGTAAATATACCTTTTATAATCCTGTCCTATGTGATTTTGCTCAGTGCTGAGACAAAAAGAGTGAAATGGAATGCAAATCTATAAATCTCTGGACCAGAAATTATATAATAGCAAAACTTTAACTAGGCCAATGGACAGATTAAACAATTATGTACTTTCCTCCATGGACACCAAAAGGTCCTACTTCCGCAAAATAATGCTCTGCCTTCTGTTTCCTTCAAACAAGGAATCGAGTTCCCTGAAATTCTTTAGCCAATCATTCATATACTTGGGTCAAGAAACGGAAGGCTCCTATTAATATACAAATTTGTATGTATAAATATTTGGTAATGCATTATTATTTTCTATTAATATCAGATTGAAAATTGCTTATTAAATTAGCTAGTGACTTATCTGGCAAGAAGAATGGAATAAAGTCCCCTGAAGAGAGAGGGTGAGGTAAGGAGCGGTGGAAGGAGCATGTGACCAGGCTGAGATCAGATCTGCAAGGGCAGGAAGCCTGGTTAAGAGGGTAGCGAGGATGAAGACAGGAAATTGAAAGGACAATCCTTGTCATCTTTACAACTCGTGTAGGACTAGTCTGACTAAGAAGTTATAGAAGTAGTATATTTGCCAAAATACATACTATGTATTTAGCTCATGGATAAAAACATTAAGTTTATTTTCTATTGAATAATCCACTTGTAAGGTTTATTTTCTACTGAAACTGCCATAACATATAAATCCTCCCCAAGAGGCATCTCCTTTATCTCCTTGTTCTAACGATAGAAAATAAAATTGAGAATTTAATTTTTTCCCCCTCCTTTTCACGCTTATCTGGGGACACTTATCTAACGACTCACCTCCTCCCTCTCACTGCGGTACTAAGCTCATTATAAAAGTCTGTTTAAATCTATCCACCTGTCTTTTGTTTTGCTGCCTACCTGGGTCTTTTCCAAGCAGGCAGAAAATCTCCAATCAGTCTGTTATCACAACCAGAACGTAAGAGATTAGTGACCACGGAGAAAAGCAGAATCAGTTTACATCCTTTCAGGCTAGAGAATGATACCACCTCATAAGCAAGAAATCTGAGGCTCCCTGACCTTAATTTAGGAAACCTGCATTTAATAATCACATTAAAGTTGGTTTTACATGCCAGACAGCTTTTGTTTCCTCTGTTGTTTTTACAATTTGAGAGTTCTTTGTGGTTATCACAGTTATTTGCTGAAAGGCAAATATTAGCATTGAAAAAATTTAATTTATACTAAAGTATAAAGTAGGTCTTACAGTTTAGGTGTATCTGAGTTAAAATACATTTTGTATTAATTTTTTACAAAGCTAGTAACATTGCTTGTATTTATCTGGAGTAGAATTTAGCAATTTAACTCTTAAATGATGACAATTAATAGACTGAAATCTCCTTTCTTAATTGAGGAATTAAATGCGTTTTTCATTGTAATCTGTCAACCTAAATCAAGACTATAAAGATACCACCATGGCCCCACCCTCACCCCTCCCTGAAAAAGGTCAATTGTTTCTCAGAGGAAAGAGAACTAACCCTGAAGCTACAAATTTAGTAAGGAAAACGGGTCAAGGAACAGATGTGCAGAGCCGGAGAGATTTGGTACAGGTGATCAGGTCAGTATGCAGAGTTTCTGAGGACAGCAAACTGAACTTGCCTTCTTTTTCATATGAACAAAATCTAATTAACATCATAAGCCAAAAAGTGATCTTGTAATGTGTGATTAACTTTTACTTAACATTCTAGGGAAGGAACCTGTATTAGCCAAACCCACTTCAACCACTTCAATGTAGTTTACTGTGTGTTCACTAAAATGAGCTGAGTCTTCAGACACCTGTTCTCTTTTAGAAAGAGTAATTTACAGTTGTGTGTGTGTGTGTGTGTGTGTGTGTGTGTGTGTGTGTGTGTGTGTGTGTTTAGTGAAATGAAATGTATAGGCCAGCAATGGAGATGATATTCACAGAATGAAAATATAGTGAGTCCATATATACACTGACATAGAAGAAAAGTTACAATGGTATTTTTGGCGCCAAAAAGTTCAAGTATATGAAATATTGATTTCCAAGGTACTGTTGGTGTTATAAAAATAGAACTGATACTTGGAGGAAAAAAAGAAAAACTCAAAAAGTCGTGTTTGCTAC